GAATTGAGTGCAACATAAAACTAATCTGCTTCTTGTTATTGTCTTCTGATTGGGTAATGGGCTAGAATGGGCTTAAAAAAGACCGATAAGCGTTACGAATTCGGTTGTTGTTCTTTGGTCAGTGTGCCGGCTAATAAATAAAAGATCACCAGTCCTACTAACTCAGCCTCTAGCTCTTTTAGAGTTACTGCCGGTCCAAAGCCAACACAAAGAAGGACGGTTCGGCATGGCGTCAGAAACACGATCTCGTAAAAAAATCTTATCAAAAAACGTTAACCAAATTAAACAAATTAAACCACATAAACTTTGCTCACCTAGTTGAAGAGTCTTCATTTAGAAGAATAAAGACACCTCATGGTGAAAGCCGAGATAATTCGGAAGTCACGAGGCTGATTCTCCTTTCAACAACCAAAGCAACAATTAATACAGGTACATGGAACGTCCAGACAGTTTGAAAGACCGGGAGAACCAGTGAAATGGCAACGGAAATGAGGAGATACAAATTAGCAGTACTGGGAATTAGTGAAACCCATTGAACTCAAGCTGGACAGAAAAGATTATATTCAGGTGAGATGCTGATGTACTCCGGTCACGAAGAGGAAAATGCTCCATACACTCAGAGAGTCGCTCTGATTCCCTTCAAATAAGCACGAGATGCACTTATTGAGTGGGAATCTCATGGATCCAGGATCATCAAATCATTCTTCAAAACAAAGGAGGGAATTACAATGAATGTTATCCAATGTTATGCACCCACCAATGATAGCAACGACGATAATAAGGATCAGTTCTATGAGAGGCTGCAATCGATTATAGCAAAGTACCCGAGAAAGGATCTCAACATCCTGATGCGAGATCTGAACGCCAAAGTCGGAATGGGCAACACCAGGTTTGAAGATATAATGGGATGACATGAACTGACTGTGAGAAAGGGACGAGAATGGTGATGTATATTCAACAAAATGGTTATAGGCACACAAAAGTATTTGGACCTCACCGGATCACACCACAGAGAACCAGATAGATCATATTCGCATCAGTAAGAAATCCACAAGGACATTGGAAGATGTGAGGGCCAGGAGAGGAGCTGATATAGCTTCAGTTCACCACTATCTGGTCTTTGCCAAGATGCCAAGATACTGACAAACGCAACCGATTCAATATAAATTCAGTTGGTATTGTTCATATGAACCTTCCCATTGATGTTTAGGACTGCAACTGATCAGTCTCTCGAACTGAAACTTCACCCGATCGCACAAACAAGTGAGAATCAGGACTCAATAGCTAAGTGGATAACGCGATGGCGTCTGAAGCGACCGGTACTAGGTTCTAATTTCGGAGTGAAAATCAACGCTGGGATGCAGACACATCCAAATGACGAGTCCCTAACAGGGCGGAATGCGCGTCTTGAATTTCGCTGCTAACTACTATCCATTTTTGTTTACAATTCAAATTAGCTTTCAACAACGGGTTTCAAGTCTTAGAGGATATACTCTAAGAAGAAACTAAGGTGGAGGATAACTGGAAAGAGATCAAAGAAGCATTAACTTCAACGTGACACGAGGTGCCGGGCCACAACAAGCATCATCATAAGAAATGGATCTCTATAGAAACCCTGAACAGTATCCAAGAAGGGAAGAATAAGAAAACAGAAATTAACAACAGTTGAACAAGAGAAAAGAAAGTCAAGGCACAAGCAGAATACAGAGAAGCATTAGGACCGACAGTGAACAATACGCGAAAGAGTGAGAAAGCTTCTAACTGGATGCTATATTCGGTTTCCCAAGCTCTTCAAGTAGCCACCCGGCTAAATCTAAACACCACCCTGAACACGAGAGTTAAGGAGTGAAATATGGAAGAAACGTTTTATTCCAGAGTTCGTTTATATACAGAAAATCTGGAGTACTTATAGTATTTTAGATGGCCTTGGGTTTCCGGAAAATTCTGGATCGCTGGTAAACGCAGTAGTAGTAGTAGTATAGGTATTCATCCAATGAGAAACGCAACATGTGACTTTCCACTTTCTAGGTGTTTTTGGTAAAAGTTCTAATGAATGCTGATTGGATAAGACGTTTCTCAGCATTATAAGAGCTTTTTTATCATTTTGGGGAAATTTTCTGGATTTCCTGAACAATGAGCTAGCAAAGACAGCAGGAAAGCTGCAAAAGTAGGAAATATCAGACGGCTATGTGACATGACGAAGAAACCGGTAGGGAAATATGATAAACCAGAGAGATTGGTCAAGAAAAAAGAAGGCAAAACAATCACCGAGATTCAAGAAAAGAGGAGCAGGTGGGTAGATTAACTCAAGAAACTCTTGAATAGAACAGCTCCGTTAAATCCACTGGACGTCGAAGCAGCACACACAGACCATCCTATATATGTCATTCCACTAACGGTCGAAGAAATCAGAATAGCCATCAGACAAATCAACAGTGTAAAGTAGCAGGGCTTGACAATATACCAGCTGAGGCCCTGAAGTCAGACATAGAAAAGATGCTTCACGTTCTATTCAAAAAGATCTTGGAAGGAGAGCAAATGCCGACGAACTAGAAATAAGTACACCTCATCAACAGACCAAAGATAGGAGATCTGAACGAATGTGAGAACCACAGAGGCATTACACTGATATCGGCACCAGGAAACGCTTTTAATAGGCTGTTTTTGAAACGGATGAAAGACTCAGTAGATGACCAACCTCAAGATCAGCAGGTTCAATTCCGTAAGGATTGGTCGTGTGCAGACCAAATCGCTACACTACGGACCATCGTTGAACAATCAGTCGACGTCCTTGAATATGAGAAGGCGTTTGACAGTGTGGGTAGAACATTATAGAAAGTTCTTCGACACTATAAAGCTCCTGAGAAGATCGTCAACATCACACGGAATTCATACGATGGGCTACACTGCAAAGTGGTTCATGGAGGACAGACGCATTGCAAGTGGAGACCGGAGTCAGATAAGGCTGCCTACTCTCTTCCTTTTTCTTCTTCTAGTCGTTGATTGGATTATGAATACTTCGACATCTGAGAGGGAGCACAGAATATAATGAACGTGTTGGATGCAACTAAACGATTAGGACTTTCCAGATGAAATAGCTCTTCTATCCCATACACATCAGCAAATCCAGGTCAAAACAAATAGTGTAGCAGCAGCCTCTGCGTCAGTAGACCCTAACATACGCGAACGAAAAGGTAACATCCTCAAATACAACACGGGGAACACCAACATATTCACACTTGATGGAGAACCTCTTCAAGAGGTGGTAACTTCCACGTACCTCGACAGCATTATCGATGAACAAGGAAGATCCGATGCAAACGTAAAGGCTAGAATCGGCAAAACAAGTCCCACATTCCTACATTCGAAGAACATATGGGACTCAAAACAACTGTCAGTCAACATCTAAGTTAGAATTTTCAATACTAACGTCAAGTTACTTCTATTGAACGGAGCTGAAACTTGGAGAACTACCACAACTATCATCAAAACAGCAAAAGTATTTATAAACATTTGTCTACACAAGATATTCAATGTCCGTTGACCATAAACCATCAGCATCAGCTTACTGTTGGAGAAAACAAACCAAGTTGTAGTTGAGGAAGAAATTAGAAAAAGACATTGGAAGTGGATAGGACAAACATTGAGGAAATCATCAAACTGTACCATCAGGTAAGCGCTAACTTGGAACCTTGAAAGGAAACAGAAAAGTAGAAGGCCAAAGAACACACTGAGCCGGGAATCGGAAGTAGACATGGAAAGGATGAATAGCAACTGGAAAGGACTAGAAAGGATTGCATTAGACATGGTTGGATGGATTATGCTGTTGGGCGGCCTATGCTCATCCATGAGGAGCAACGGGTGTAAATATGTAAGTAATGTCTTACTGGCCATATGGGAATACTTAGTCGATAATGATAGTCGCGAATGGACAATATAGCACGTGATATCGATCAGCGAACGCAAGGCACAACTATCTTAGTAACTACGACTATGCCTTCAACCATCTGACCAAAAAACCCTCATTTTAAATAGTAGCATAAGTGATCGAAAACACCGGCCGGAAAAACCAATTCTTATGGGCTTATAGTGTCGTTTACTATATTAAGCTCATATAACTTATTCTAGCTTCCGGACATACCAATTTATCCATTCTTCTCAAGCTACATTTTGACCTTGTTCATTATTCGCATATCAATCTTGACTATTTTTATACGACCGTATGTGTGTGTTCATCTTATCCTACTCATAACACATCTGTAACTTATTTTTGTGTGACTATAAATATTGATTAACGCTTGATTAAATCGAGTTAGCTCATACGGCATATCCACTGTACGCCATTTCTCTTCGCTTCATTCCTCTGATTGCCTATTCAAACCAATGAGTACATTTGGCTTATTTAGTTCCGTTATTCACTGACATGAATTAAGTCTATATTTATATACGAGAATTAATGGCATGTATACCTCGCTAACAAGCAGAAATGATCCATCTGGAGTCAGATATAAGGCCACTAAAGGTTAAACGCACCTTCTATCCCCAACAACCAGTCAGAAGACGAAGACGGCAAGCCGACATACTTTCTTTTACGATGTTGTCAACCTTAATGAAAACATTACAGGATTATATCACATGAACACAACGTACTGTAAATAAGAATTGACATTGTATGCATAACTAAATCACGTGCTAAAAAACTGAGTAACAGATCCATAATTAATTAATAAGTTAGGAATGATAAAAACATAATAACAATTAATGAATGAAACCAATGAAAGAAACCAAAGAGTAACAAAAAAACGGAGTTTTAAATGACAAGTGAACATTATTGGTCAAGAAATTGTTTCATTTTCAAATGTGCTTATGCATGTGAATCGTTGTACACTAATAAACTTCCTTCTTCACTCTTAGTCTTCGGTTGAAAGTTTAACTGCAGGAAGTTTTGTATTTCAGTATCAGTATCGGATATCTCGCGTTGTAAAAACATTTAAAATCATTTACAAATTTTCACTTGGTTTACAGAGTTCAATCAACATCAAATAGCTAAACAATACAAAATTGATTAAAACACAGTGATTAACGAATGTAAATGTTTCAATTATATAAGAAGTCAATCATGATGAAAATGGTCCAGTTGTAACATCATTTTTAATGTTGGATAAAACAAACAGAAATCAAAAACAAGTTGTTAGTTCTCTTACAATTATAGACATATCTCGTTGATGAATGTTAACCAACATGAATTTCAGATTCAGAACATTCTACTTATTATCTTGAGTCATTTATATCAAAGTTTCAACCCTGATGCCAAGAAATCAACTTAACATTTTGGCGAGACTATAATTTATGAACGAACCAATCAGATTTAGGATAACAGGTCTTAGATTTTGCCGCGAAATTCACTCATCCATTCGTCAAAAATAGTATCTTGGCGTTTTAGCTGATGTCAATTCGTGATGAAAACCATAAATTTAAATTGACTGTAGATTATCCAATATTGCAGTATCTGCGGTCCTATTGTTTATACTTGGAAATAGGAACCACTATATATTCCACTATGAGAAGTGAGAACTGACTTTCCAAAACACAACGACGTTAAATTAAAATAAACTCATTTATAGATCGATTTTAGTTATGAAGCATCGTATAATTGAAAAGATACACAAAAATTTTACACAGAATGATACAAAGCATATAATTGTCCCATTGAACGAAATTCCACATTTAATCAATACAAACATATTAACCTGAAACAATGTTATACTAAAAGATAAGAACCCAATATATTGAGTGTAAAATCAATGTCAAATCTCATCTTAGTAATAAAACTCATATTAATTAAATGTTTGTATCAAGTTAGAAAAAAAAAGCATGAATTTGCTTTATTATCTTGACTTATCTAAAGTAAAACATGCCATAGCAAATACATGAGAGAAGAGTACATGTTCGCATTTCTGAGCATATTCCAAAAAACTTGAGCCTGTGAGGAACTAGGGCTCTCAACAGTGCAATAGCTCGGCATTTACTTGACATCGGGCATACCATCGACATTCCCCACGCTTTAAAAATTATCAGCAGACAAAGAAATATAACTGCTCTTCGTTTTGCTGAAGCGATAGCGATAAAAAAAACTTAAACCGGATTTATGTATTCAAAAAGAGACAGTAGTAAACTTATTATTACCCTGGTAGTCCATTTTTATTTATTTTTTTGGTTATTGTTATTTAATTTATTTATTTTTAAAATATTTATTTTGTGTTATATTCCTCCCCCATTACCGAATTCTTAAACCAACTTTTCATTCACACATTTCCACCCATTTACCCTCTTAAGTCATGTTAACTTTCCAAACTCTATTCAATTATTACGTTACCTATCTTATCACTATTGATTGATCACTGAGTGGTGATCAGTGTCATGCTTGTCTAGTCCTTATTAGTACAGATCGAATGCTATCGACACTGCGGGCACTATGTATTGAGATTTAGATGGTGGTTGGAGGTAGTCAACTGCTAGGATAGCTCAGTGGTAACGTCTCTGACTGTGAAGCTGGGTGACACGAGATCGAATCCGTCAGGGAGCACCAGTTCCCTCAAGATTACAGGTACACCTTGCTGACGAGTGCCAAGTAGCACGAAACCGGGGTCCAGGGTTTCCTGTTGACTACCTCCAACCACCATCTAAATCTCTATCTTATCATTGTTTAAGTCCATGAATCCTTCATTACCTCTAAAATTATCACACAATTTGTGAACTCCACTCAACTACTAAACCACCCATCCTGAATTGTTTCCTTAATTCTAACACCAAATTATATATATATATATATATATATATATATATATATATATATATATATATATATATATATATATATATATATATATATATATATATATATATATATATATATATATAGTTATTATTATAAACCTTTGTCATTCCAATCATTTACATTCATTTATGTCCATTGTTTTACACCATTTCTTATCTCAATGTAAAATTCTATTACATATTTGATTGTAAGCAACTGACGAGAAACCTCGAACTATTATGAATTTATACTATTCTACATCACTATTTGTTCTTGCTTTATTTAAATTCATAAAGGGAACTAGTTACATGAAAACTTATATTATTAAATGTTTGTATCAAGTTAGAAAAAAGCATGAATTTGCTTGATTATCTTAACTTATCTAAACGTAAAACATAATTTTCGTACATTGAAGATAATATATTCATAATAATTAGTTTATAAAGTGATATAAATGTACTTTTACAAATCAGCTGAGTAAAATAATTCAATCTATTTTACCATTTTATGTGTAACTTAACGAATAGTTTTCTTTCTTTTTTATTTTCTAAGTTATTAAATCTATTCACTATAAGTACACAGAGAAAATTAATACAAAAAGAAATGCTAAATAGGGTTATTTTAAGACAAAGTCAGAACTTTTTATAGAATATAAATTTACAAAAGAAAGCCTTTTAAGGGCTACTGTCGGTCTTATCATGCCTAGGAGGTTGATCGGAGATCAGTAAAACCAGATGCAACAAGTTAAGGTTCGAGGGTGGGGTGGTACTGATGACTGCAGAGGGTTTTAACAGCAGTAAAGTGTTCTCTTCTGACTAACAGCATCTGGAGCAGTTCTATACTCTCAGAACGAAAGGAAGGAGTTAGAAAGTGTCGGCCTTAAAAATGTCACACCTCACCTTACCCCAAGGATTCCCATCTCCGGCGTTAAGGCTTTTTGAAATACGAAGCTAACAAATTAAAATCTCCCCATAAAAAGTCTATGAGTGACCGGCCTCAAAAAGTTATCTCTTGGTTTCTGAGGTACACGCTCCCAGGTCGATATGACCACCAATAATTAATCTTCCTTTTCAGGCCCGTCAAGAAGAAATATTCTTCCACAGCGTAAGCAACCGGGAAGTGATAACCGCCCTCATACTTCTGTCAGCACAAGGGATCACCTTGTTGACGGTTAAACCACTACCTCACTCATTGGTAATCTTTCCATCCCCATGACGTATCCTTCTCATACAGATTTATCACCATATGCCACCAATCCTAATGATTTAAGTTCACAGTATTATCCCTGGTCTCCTGAAACCACTATCTAAACTACATGCTGAAGCTTTTAATGTCCAAACCTTTTGTCAGATAGAACAATAGGCTTCTTAAGCTAGGATTCTAAAATTTCGCACCATTGATGTATGCTGCGTTTCCGAAACACGCATACAAGATCCTAGTACGGTCATTCGTTTGACCTCACCCTGCTAACATAAGGAACCGGTACGATTTATCCTTCGAGTATCCGAAGACCACACTCTGCTTCTCATGGCATTACTAGTGTAGGTATATCATTAATTTCTAAAGCAGAATGGACTCTCCTAGATTGGATGCTAATAGACAGTCTCTTGCGCTCTATTCAACTAAAAGGGATAGTAAGAACTCAAAAAGATAGGTACACACGCCGTCACCCTTCCGTTTTCTCTGTCAACCTTCCAGCTGACTGCACCTCAGATGAATTTAAAGATGATTTTTTTAAGAAGTCATTCAACCTTATTCAAAACTCTAAGCGCTGTGTTGTAGTAACAGTAGTACGTGTTAATAACGCTCCAGTAGGTAAACTAAACACAACCGAAAGTCAATTGGATGGATCTCACAGTGTTGCATCCCAGAGAACATGCAGCGACCGTATGTTGCACCCATGAAAAGACAACACCATATTTCTGTTAAGCACCGACTTTAGGCATAAAAACATATCGTTTGACGTGGTGACCCCCACAGTCGGCTCAACGACGAACTCGAATAGACCACATTGCTGTCAGCCATCGTCGGACAGGCTTGACAGAGGACTATCGTTCACTCTGGAGAACATGTTTAGACACAGATCATGCTCCAGTTCGAGCACGCATCGGTCTGCTTCTTGTTGGATGTCGAAAGACCACAGGAAGGAAACTACTTAGAGCATAGCCTAATGATGAAAAAGTTAATATATTTCAGGAACAGCTGGAGAGGGAGCCAGTCAGTCGTGAAAGTGATATCCACCTCAAGGCAGCTTTATATGATATCCAAAATGCTGTGGAAACAGCAGTGATATCTACTAGTAACATGAACCAAAAGGTTGGAAAGAATCAGTGGTTCTCAGCGGCGTCTACAAAACTGATAAATGCTCCGAAATTCACCCCGTTTGGCTCAGAACACATTGAGAAGTGGAGGCAGCTTAACCGTAGGACTACAGAAAGCCTACATAATGATCATAAGCAGTGGTGGATAGTGAAAGCAGAATACATGGAAAATGCAGCAGCGATAGGTAACAGGAGACAACTGTTTAGACTTATCAAGGATGCAGGCATCAAAAATACAGATGTTAGTGGGAATATCTTGGAGAAAGATGAGACTGTTATTCACTCTCAATCCAGAACATTGCACCAATGGACAGAACACTTCAGGGACACAGTACGACTGATTTTCAGATATACGTTATTTACTCACTATCTCCACCAACCCTTGGTCAGGTTGAAAAAGCTATACGTAATCTAAGGCGAAGGATAACAGCAGGGTCTGATGGACTAAGCCCTGAGAATTTTAGTGATGGTGGTCCAGTTCTACCAGTTAGACCAGATGAAATCTTAACTAGAATCTGGGATCTGGACGTAGTCCAATCTGACTGATCTCGATCGCTTATTGTCCCAATTTATAAGAAAGGACAAAAATCCTGTTGTAACAATCACAGAGGAATAAGTTCAACAAATATAGTGTCCAACATATTAGCCTCAGTAGCACAACGTCGTCTAACTACTGGTATTCGATTATAGGTGTCTTCAAAGCATTGCTCTTACATTTTGGGACCACGGAATAAGCAGTATCTGGGTTAGGAATAAGGTGTTAAGCGAGGATGACAAGTCAATCGGTGAGGTAGTAAATCTTCGTCAACTGAAGGTGGTTGGGACATGTATTAACTATGCCCAACCACCACCTACACTGACGGGCGATGTTAATAAGTATAGACTATTAGTTTGTGATCCTCATGACTATCGTAACAAATGACTAGAAATCATTTGCAATGGAGCGAGTGCATCCGTTCTTTGTATTCCCTAAAATTCTGATTTCTTGAATTCCTCATAACATTTATGGCATTTTATTTGACTAATTTGTATTTTGTTAAATCTTATTATCGATGCTGAATCTTTTCAATCACCACTGATACTTTTACTGTTTCTATTATTCTAGGATTTGGTCTGATAGTTTCATCTCATTATACTAACGGGTTATGGGAACTTGAACAAATGTACAAGCGCACAAGATTCTATGTTGTGAATAATTGAATTCAAAAAACCTCATACTTTAAAGACAATGTTTTACAACATTATATACTCGCTTTTATCACACAAATGTTGATTAATTAAAACCTTTGAATTCCAACAACTATTTAGTCTACTTATTATTCATATGTACATTATTTGTTTATTGATTATAGATAACTTGAGACCGGTTACAATGTATAAAGATGGTTGGTGAATGGCATGAATTACATAACAATTTCCAATCGATAACAATTTCAGATTCAATATATTTGAATAGAATAGCTACATACACACTTTTCTGTGCATTTATAATAATATTATTATCAAATGTAAAATGAGATTCATAAACGAAAGCACATTATTTCAATGTATACATTAGATATATTTGGTGATAGACAAAAGGAAATGGTTTATATATATACAATATACGTATGCCTTATGTCCTCACAAATTGACTGTTTCATCGATTTATAAGTATAGCCTTTTACAGTGTTCAACCATAGGTGTTGTTACAAAGGTTATTCACTGAATATTAACTAAATTATATTATTCTAGTTCTCAGTGCTGATAGAATTCGATTAATCAAGTTGTAATTTGGTCACTAATCTAAGCAAATATGTACTATGAGTGGAAATATTCAACAGAGAACCCTGAACTTGGTTAGTATGACGTATCTGTTATCCTGAAAAAACTGACCAGTCAGTCAGCTACAACGTAGAACCAGACACATATATGCATCGGTCCAAGTTGCCATACATCAGCGGCACAACAAGATGAACACCTGATTCATAAAAGTAGTTAATTTAGTGGTGGTAATATATAAAAGAAAGACTGCATATAAGGATATAGTACAGGAGGAAAGAGTTAGTTCGTAGAAAGAAAGATATGAAGCAATTTTAATCTCAGTTTAAAAGACAGAGAGTGTACACACCGACGCCATTGTGATCGATTCTGAGCCAATGTCACCTAGAGTCTCCAACCATTGGTTACGATAGTCACGCGGACTCCAACCAAGTAGTCTGCGTCTACCAACATGGCTCAGACCAGAAGTTAGTGACTTCAAGCACTGATGCCACGTTTCGGTTTGACTGCCCTTAACTTTCTTCCAATCTCTGAGAAAACTGATTTTTATAGAGTAGACAAACATAACGTAATTTATTACTCAGTGATCAAACTGATTCTGACTATGACACTGGTTGACATAGGTTCAGATCTAACAAAAATTATCAGATTCCTCAAGTTTGCAGATATGATTTGATGACACTTATTAACTGGCACGAACCCGAAGTCTGTTACTTCCGGTCAACTACTTCCAGTCATCCAACGTAGCTATTTATATCTTGCTTCATCTAAGAGTTCCTCCTCACCTAAAAAGATTACATCAGATGTAAACACAAATATTACTTAAAATGTGTCATCAGTAAAAATCTGTCTAGAACCCTATCAGGGTTACTGCCGGTCCCAAGCCAGGAGGGTTTGGTATGGGGTTAACAACCCTATCCCGTAGAAAAAGACGTTAGTAAAAAACACACCGACCAGGAAAATATTTAACTATGATACTGGTAAATCTATACCTTTAAAGGAGTGGAATCTATCCATGCTACAGATCCTATGAATCTGAAATCTTATTTTCAATTAGGTCATATATTATAACTATTAATAACGATATCTTCTATCGTGTAGTAGGACTTTAAGAACAGGGTTCGATTTGTTAAGTGAATGAAAAAAGTGCTGATTGATACATGAGCAACAGTGATATTACGTGACTGAATGATAACTGCCCACGATAAAGATTTATTGACATGAGCGCATAAGTGGACTGATATCATATCACAAGTAGAATAAGCTTTTTCTCCTGACAAAATAACATGCTCACACGGAAAATATTGAACACAAAAGTAAACATGATTACAAATTACTAAATACAGACAATTGTAGGATATTTCGACTACAGGTCATTCATTCACTCTCCGAATGAACTGATGACTAATTATCGGGATTAATCCTTACCCTCCTTAAATGGTTAGATTTTACATGTACTGATTTTTATCAAACTCATAATAAGTTTAGTATCATATTTTGTACCTTCTTACCATATTTATGAATTCTAGTCCCATTTCAAACTAGAAGTAGTTGTCAGAAAATTCTGAATCTAGGTTTCATGCTATTTGGTATTTATCAGCAATACTAACCTGATCTGATATACATAACATCGGTCACTGCTCAGTGAAAAACCAATTTTACATCTTGATATTCCTTGTAACTGTAAACGAGAACAGAAAAGTTTATTCATCCCACGCCTTTGTAAATTGCTGAAAATGTTTAAAATGATAGCGAAAAATTAATTCTCCACACCATAGAGTAAAAATAATGCTGTAAAAAAATGCATCAAGTCCTCGATTTGTTGTCATTTGTATGTACAGACAAATCGACACTATTCCTGGATTCTAGTCCTAAACCTCTTATTCCTGGAACGAGCAACGTGATGACACTGTATTTTATACACAGATGGATCAAATAGCGTCCCTTACATTTTTACGCAAAACTTATTTATCTAGATGAATATATAGAATTTTCGAATTATAAACAAAGTCGTTTCGTAGTAAAAGCCCTAACGATAAAGAAACTTAATCTGTTTTGGTGATTGTAAGGTTTAGATCGAACGGATAATCTATATGCATCAGAACGAATTGATATCATTATTTTCATCGATTCATAAACAAATCAACCGGTAGAAGACGTGAATAGATTCATCATTTATTGAAAATCTGTTTACATCTTGTAACATTACTGTTTTCATTTCAGAAAATTCTCCATGTACGGAAGCTATCTTTTGATAAGCTAAGAATCAGCTGAAAATTCATCAAAGTTATTTCAAATTCATTTTCATAGTCCATACTTTTACCAATAACACTTTCTATTCTTTCTTTGTTCAAAATTTATTAAGAAAGTTAGATAATTTAATGAGAAGACAAACTTTATCCAATCTTTGTGTGATATTGATTAGCGCAAAACACTTCGACTAATCTGATCACATACATAAGATATTTATTCATGTGAATGAAATAAAGGTCAATTAAACAAAATGCAAGGTATATATACCTTCACAAGTAAAAGTGTATGATCAGACAGTTGAAAAATATCATTGTACTAATCAATAACAGACATAGTCCAAGTGAACTCTATTTATCAATAAGACTAACAAAATTAATGACTCGATTGACTAGATTTTATGAAACATTATGTAATATTATCTAACTTATTTTTTTAATCAAAAGAATCCGTTTATTTTTGTTGAACTATATATACGCAATTTCAAAAGTTGGGATCATCAGTCAATTGAAGCTAGACAACTATGGAAAACCTGGACGGCCATTTCCTCCTATTGAGGGACTCCTCAGCAGTGTGCATCCACGATCCCACCTCGTGAGATTCAAGACCAGGACTTATCAGTCTCGTGCGCGAACGCTTAACCTCTACACCACTGAGTCGGCCGGCATCCAACGGTGTTAATGTTTAACTTCAACTAATCCAAGAAATTGTGCGACACATCTACCATTGTTATCAGTGAGTTACTATCTATCTCACAACACATCTGGTTGTACTCGAGTGGTTACTACTTCTCACTAGAACTCCAGGCAATACCTCTTGAAGCCAGTCACTAGTGAGCATATGTTGATTAGTATTAGAAGGGATTTTGTGTAGATTCTAGTAATTTCAATAGTTGAGATCATAAGTAAATTGAACCTAGACCACCATGGAAAACTTGGAAGCACTGGACGGCCGTTTCTTCCTATCGTGGGACTCCTCAGCAGTGCGCATTCCACCATCGCACCTCGCGGGATTCGGACCCAAGACCTATCAGTTCCTTTAATAAAGTTCTTCTTAGTATATTATTATTGTAAATAAAAATGAAATCACATATAAGTACTTGAGAGGTATGTCACATTTTAATGTCATCTTTTTTTTCTAGAAAATTTGTAATTTATGTGTACGGAAAAATAAATATACAACGTATACAGTGAAAAAGAAACGCTGGATGTACTTTTGATGGACTAAAATTAAAACGGATATCATTATTTATTACATATCCAAGGTATTATTGAATAATTTAATAGAGTTAAAAAAAACAATCATTGATTTTACCAATATGATTCTATTCCATACATTATTATCCATTATGGAATAACTATAGAAAAGTGACAAGTTTACTGTATATAATAAATAATGTAATACTGTAATATATGCAGCTATTTGGTGATAAAAAAAATAGCAAGTAACTAATCAATTAAAAGTATCCAATGATTGTTTAGTGGAAAGTAATTTTTAAATTAACTTACACTATTGGAAGGGCAAGAATAAAGTTTGATGAATAATTTACGAGATCTTTATGGTGCAATCGATTATGTATTTTAATCAATACTCAATGAAATTTATTTTTGTGCACAATATTTTGCATATAAATGCATTATGTCCCCTAAAAAATAAGTCTCCATGTTAATAATTGATTCTGTCTTTTTGAAGTTCTAAACTAATAATTCACGTTTTGATAGTTATCACCGCTCGGCTACACTATTCACAGGCGATCGATCATAACCATAAAATACATTAGTCGAGTTCATCTAAACTTACTGGACATGTGGATTTTTCAGAAGTTCAGTGACTTCAAAAGATGTTTGTCAAAATCGTAATTCACATAATAAAATGGTTTTTTCATTGTTTCACCTCAGTAGTTGATCTCCTTCCTGGAAAACTCGTTTATTTACCTAGAGTACGTAGACGACCGTGTTCCGTCCAGTTATGGTGGACCTAGAAATACCTCAGACGAGACTACAGAAGCTTCAGAATTGGCGCTTACCACCAAATGCTTAGTGTTACCTCAGGACTAGTTCGCATCAGCTCATAGTTCGACTACAGGAAGTGAAGTAGTTTAGTGCGTTACCGCAACTAGCCTTGACAGTCTGATTAGACCTTGTTGATTTGAAGGGATGACGAAACGTTCTCTCGAACACATGAGGTCCACTCTGCGCCTCTGGAAGCTTACGAAACATGTTAATCTAGTAGTATGTTTGTCCGTTCATGAAAAAACTGAGACACTGCTAGGTAATTTTGGTTAGGACAAGGAGTTTTTGAAGGTATAACATGTGTTATAGTTTTTAGATCTTGCTCATGCATACTTTTGAAGCGTTGATTACGCATGGTGAACCTATTACGTGACTACTGCTGAATTTAGATATAGGGGTGTGGTGTATGCTATTTACATAGACAGACATAAGTGGTATGCAACACCGATCGGAAGTGGAAAACGTGCCAGCAGAATGTTGAGATGACCGAATCGAAGCGAGTGGAAACAGTGTAATCACTATGACAATGAAGGAATGATGAAGTTTGAGACAATGGATGGAGAATTTTCAAATGAAGTACTGAACGTATCGTCCTCACGTCTGATGAAATTACTCTGTAATTTTACATTAAAATACAACCGGATGTCCCTCACTTATGTTTTCGTTCACAACAGGGGTACTAGGTATATTTGATCAGCCTATGATGTAGACTTTGATAAACGGTGGTTAGAATCGCGATGCATGAGTAGGTAACGCTTATCACGACGACCACTTTACCAGAGTGGCTGATATTTATGCGATACCTTTTTTTATGCTGTTCATTTCCATTCTCCACGGTGGTGCAAAGTTGGGCAGTTTGGGTTTAAGAGGTCATTTAGGCGGCTTTGGTAAAGTTTGGTTTCGTGTATCAAGCTACTTACAATTTGTTAGTAACTGATCTTGTGCACAATGAATTCTATTTTCGTTGACATGATATTTTTTGCATTGAGAGACAAGTTTTTGTATTAGTCGGTTGACATAATACGTGCTGACAAACTGAATTCACAGCCTACAGAATTTTAAAAAATAACGAAAAAAAAACTATAATCATTATCTAAATATTTGCTTGGTTCACGCGTAAACGTCGTAAACTTCTTATACTGTTTAGGAAATGGTACAATTGCATTGAAAAATTCGTAAATCATTTTGAATGAACATTTAAAAAACGCAAAATGTCTAAAAACTTTTTCTAAAAATTGGTCACTTCTCACAAGAAATAACATTTGAATATCTGTTAGTGTAAATAATAGACATTTTTTGGCAGAATAACTTCAAGAGTTGGCCACAAAGTGTATTCACATATCTACGTTCATTCAGAAACTATTATAATTGTATAAAAAAATCGCTGAAAATATAAACAAGAAAAAATACACGGTAAGCGATAAGCATTTTTAAATTCTTTATTAAGAATCCTTTCCCGAGATAAATGATGATTTATATTGTTGCTTAAGTTTTTCTGTGTTGGTATAATCCAAACTGTCCACTGGGTTGGACGAGGAATCTGTTCAAGTTTGAAGGCAGAAAAAGAACAAGGAAAGTGATAAACAGGATGACGATGATATAAGTAAATGTGATTGCTTTTGTGATCGAAGATTAGAAAGTGGATTAAATAAACTTAGATATTCGGATACTGATTTGTAGAGAGTGTTAGATTCGAAGTGAGTTCCCAATATAAAGTAGAGAAGACGTGATTGGTTCTAAAATAACAGTCAGATTTCTTTTTTTAATAAATGGACACTAATTTTCTCAGGACGAACACTAAACGATTTATCTGCGTATATGATTCATTCGCTCTATACTTGATACTAAACTTCAACGCAACTGAAATCAAGAACACATGATTCGCCCGACTCGTACGTGTATTGGTCAACATTCAACAACCGACAATATGATAATAAGGGGTAGGAAAATCTATATTACACACCCAATACTTATCAAACTATCTACCAGTCTAAGCAAACAGCCTATAACTATTTCTTTCGCCCATACAACAGGATGATTCTAACGATATATAGAACGATGAATATGTCATCAGTGATGGCATCAGACAGTGAATGCACAATCTGGTAAATTGAATGAACTTAAGAATGTTAATTACTGGATATTGGCATAATAATCCATTGGTATCGTGTTCGCTACCAGACTCAAAGATCCTAGTTAGGTCTCAAACGAATTTGTGAGTCTCCACTACTAAGAAGTAATACACCCCTTAGTTATCAATACATTTATAACTGGTGCCCGTCAGTCAGCTACAACGTAGGACCAGGCACTGCTAGAGTGGATCCCCGTCAACAGTCGTCTATGTGCTGTTCGGCTAAACGGCTCCGTAAGAACTCGGAAGGATAGGGACACACGTCGTTTCCTTTTCGTCATTTCTGCCTACGCTCCCACTGACTGCAGCTCAGATGATGTGAAAGATGAATTTTACAGAAAGCTTTCTGAACTTCTTCAGAAAGCTAAACGTTCAGACATAGTACTCGTAGGGGGTGACTTTAATGCTCAGATAGGTAGCTTAAACCAAACAGAAAGGCATTTAGGTGGATATTTTAGCATTCCGGCACAGCGAACAGATAATGGTGACCGTCTGCTGCAACTGTGCTCAGACAATCGCTTATTTCTAGCAAACACAAATTTTAAGCATAAGGAGAGACATCGTCTAACATGGAGACCCCCTACACCAAACCAACGATGGACTCAAATAGACTATATTGCCATCAGTCATCGTTGGAGAGGGTCGGTAGAAGATTGTCGCTCATTCTGGAGTACCTGCTTGGACTCCGACCACGCCCTAATACGGGCACGCATCTGCTTGCGCCTCACTGGACGCAAAAAAGCCACAGTAAAAAGACCCATTAGAACCGAACTGAGTAGCGAGGAAACCAAAAGTAGGTTCCAAGAACAACTGAGGTCACACTTAGGTAGTTCTGAAGACGAGGCTGACCCAGATGTTGCTTGGAAAGCTATACAAGCAGCTGTGGAAACAGCAGTGACATCTATTAGCGACTTAAACCACAGAGTTACAAAGAACCAGTGGATTCCTTCAAAGTCTATCACACTGATGGATTCTCGCAAAACTCCTCCCATCAGGTTTCGAACATGATGAAGAGCGACAACAAATCAGATCTAGGTTAAGAAAAAGTCTAAGAAACGACCGTGAGCAGTGGTGGGCAATGAAAGCAAAAGGGATGGAAAAGGCGGCGACTATAGGGAACACAAGGCAGCTTTACAGACTAATAAAAGAAACTGGAACTAATAAGTCAAGTGTGAGATTATTTCGGAAAAAGACGACACCCTCATCTGCTCCCAGTCCAAACGTTTAGAACGATGGGTGGAACAATTTTAGAGAACAGTTCAGCTGGCCTTCAGCGAATCTACAACTACCCTTCATTCCCAGACAGTGTGAATGGAACATTGAAGTAGGTCCCCCCAACTCTAGCAGAAGTTCAAAAGGCTATAGTTAATCTGAAACGAGGAAGGGCAGCTGATCCAGATGGATTGGCTCCAGAAGTCTTTAAGGATAGTGGTCCAATTTTAGCGATTAGATTGACTAATATTTTAGCTAAGAACTGGGAGTTAGACGTTATCCCATCTGGCTGGTCACAATCACTTATCGTTCCAATATATAAGAGAGGGTTAAAATCATCCTGTGACAACCATAGAGGGATTAGTTTGACTAATATGGTATCTAAAATGCTAGCCTCGATAATTATCAGACGCCTAACTAAGACTCATGAACTGCAAACACGAGAGAATCAAGCTGGCTTTAGACCTGGTCGTGGCTGCATCGACCACATATTCACCATTCGTCAGGTTCTAGAACACAGGCATACTTATCGGCGTCCGACAATGGTGGTCTTTCTCGACTTAAAAGCAGCATTTGACTCGGTAGACTGCGAGATTCTGTGGCAGTGTCTGTCATTGAAAGGCGTACCCCAGAAGTACATAAACCTTGTAAAGGCTCTTTACTCGAACACTACTAGTCGAGTCAGAGCTTATGGCGAATTGTCATCTGCTTTTGCAACCTCAAGTGGTGTCCGTCAAGGCTGTCCACTTTCTCCATTTCTGTTTAACTTCATCATAGATCTACTGATGGAAATAACTTTCTCGTCGACTGAGTTCTCGGGTATTGATCTCCATCCAGGAGGTCCACTTATCGACTTAGAATACGCAGATGACATAGTCCTGTTTGGTGAAGACGCTGACAAAATGCAGAGTCTTCTGGTAGCACTGAGCAACAATGCCAGAATGTTTGGAATGCGCTTCTCTCCCTCTAAATGCAAGTTGTTGCTTCAGGACTGGTCTGCGTTAACACCTGAACTAAGGATAGGGAGTGAAGTAGTCGAACGCGTTGACAACTTCACTTATCTTGGAAGTCTGATCAGCCCTAATGGGTTGGTGTCTGACGAAATCTCAGCACTGATTCGAAAAGCTCGTTTGGATTTTGCCAACTTACGTCACCTGTCGCGAAGGTGAGATATCCGTCTATCAATAAAAGGACGAGTATACTGCGCGGCAGTCCGTTCTGTTTTAATTTACGGCAGCGAAACATGGTCAGTGATGAAACTTAATTTTAAATTTAATATGATCGTTTGTTCTTAGTTGGCTTTATGAAATGTCTTCAGTTAAACAAGCATTGATAACCAAAAATTCCTGAAAAGTTGTTTAGTCCAAGAAATATGACTGTGGCTTGGAAAACCTGGTTTCGACCCTTGGTAGGTTTGTGGACACACATCGATGAGGATTTCGACACTATAACGAAATATTCGTCGTGTTTTCTGGTTTTTAATAACTATCTAGCTAATGTTAATTCATAATATAAAGTACAAATTAAACAATCTCCGCAAATTTGCTATGTTAGCAATGAACCTTTTTAACTAGTATGATGATAAAAAATTAAATGTAGGTTGTTTGCAACTTACCAGCTCCCCACCCACCCAGTTTCAAAATGACAGGAACGTCTTAAAACTTAAGAGAATTAACTATTTCCGTAAACTGTTATGGATCGCAGTATAATTTGCGCTACCACATCAAAGTAGAAATAAACCAATACATCCAGGAAATTATTAACTATGTTCAGTTCAAAAGAGTAACAGTGAAAAATCTGGATGTACAGAGGTCGAGTTTCTGCTGTATAAAATTTACTATATTTCTGCTATAAATTGTAATTACTGAGTCCCGCTGTTAGCTTCAAAGAGAAGCCACATGGGTTAAAACACATGTCTACCATTTAGGTTTGAATGGTTTCAGTACACAACATCATATACTTTAACGGTTGGTAGATCCTGTTGGTGATTAGCAAGTTAAAAACAACCTTGTTGCTGTTTGATTTGGAGTCAAAAATATTATATCATAAATCATAGCTTTAACATTCCAATACTAGTATATGATGAAAATGTGTGTTTGAAGCTTCGAACTAGATCAGTGATAAGGTTTAGACGGAATTCTCGCAACTACTAAGCTGTTATAGAATGTCAGTTTTAGCTTAAACTACTTCAGTAACATTTTTGGCCATATGATGAAAATGTGTGTTTGAAGCTTCGAACTAGATCAGTGATAAGGTTTAGACGGAATTCTCGCAACTACTAAGCTGTTATAGAATGTCAGTTTTAGCTTAAACTACTTCAGTAACATTTTTGGCCACTATGTCAGATGAGATAAATCTGAATCTCCCAACGGCTCAAAACCAGGTGCCAAAACACTTTGGTGGTCTATCATCAAGGGGAAACTTGGAACTAAGACTTCTCGCCGATTGCCTCCAAGTGAATAGAACGGAAAGGATAAAAACACGAGGAAATCTAACTAATGAAAACAAAAAGCACAGGTTGTTGCTAAAAAGCCGTTGGTGAAGGGCAAATTTGAATACTCCTTTGTTTTCTATTAAACCGTTGCTGCCACCTTGACGTGGTGGTCGGACTTGCCTATCGTGATGAACCAATCGAGCTATACTGGCTGAAATAATTGTTCCTCAAGGTCCTACCATGACAGACAGGTCGGTTAAAGAGCGCTAAGACTAAAAGCAGCAAACTCAAGGTCTGAGGGCGGAGTCATACTGCTGACTGTACAGAGATGTGACGACAGTAAGGTGTTTCCTTCAGACAACCAGCATAACAACGATGCTGCCTTCACACAAAGAAGAATGGGGTTA